AGAATAGGTGAACATATTTAAACATGTAAGAAATAAATTTATTTGAATGGCAACATTTCATGTACAAAGTCAAGATACATGCAAATTTTTATTTTTAAGAAAGCACTACCTTTAACATATAAAAAGCTGTTATGAATTGACAAGAAAAACAATCCAAAATGAAAGATGTATGCATAAATGGTTTATAAAGGCAACTTACAGAACAGCAAATTAAATGGCCTAGAAACATTTAAAGTTGTATATTAATATGTGAATTAAAATAAATTGGTTATCACTTTGAAGTCATAAAACTGCTCAAGGTTAAATAACTTTTAGTAGAGGGGAAGGGGTACATTTATACACTGTTGGAAATATGAAGTGCTAGTCTTATTCCAAAGAAATCTGACAACTTATATTAAAATAAGAAAACAATTCATTCTCACTGCTAGAAGCATGTGTTTGGTGGGAGGGCGGGTAACTCCAGTAGATAAGGGCGTGATTATGCCTGTCCACTAAACCATTATGCTATGCCATCTCTTGAAGATGATTATCAGACCATTTTTCCTAGTGACAAAAATGTGAATAAACAGTGGCAAAGTGATTGAACAAATTATGGCATATCCACATCATGAACTCTTTTCAGGGAATTAAAAATTATTTTTGAGTGAGTGCAAAAGATGCAAAAATGTGTATGTAATATAATCCCATTTCAAGTCTGAAAGCCATCACTTGTGTGATATTAATAATAATTAATAATACACATATTAATGTGTATGTGATTGTGAGTAAAAACAAAAATGTGAAGTTGATTAGTGTTGCTTATCTGTTGACAGACTGTTATGGCTGGAGTTGCTATGAGAGTGAAGAAATTACAAAATTCGAGAAATAAAATATATTATAAAAGTCACATTTATACAAAGTTTTATGTGTGCACGTGTTTGTATGTGCGTGTTTAAATATCATTTTTTAATTAAAAGAATGGCAAGTGTTGGACTGGCCTACTTGTCCCCACTGGTTCTAGAGACATGGGAATTAAAATAAATCAATAATAAAATGAATTATACTTCTTGTAGAATTTGCTTTTATAGGAAGACTTTTTCCACTGTATCAAATTTACAGCTAACCCCAATATGAATTTGATGGCATATAAGAAAGTTCTTAGAAGACTTATTCTGAATTATTTATCTGATGTCCAGTAAGGTGTAACCCATAGACAAAGGCTTCACTTATAAGATGTAATATACGAGAATGATAGGGCTTCTCTGTAGTATAATTAATTTACGATTGGTTCTCACTTGTGTGAGACTTTCTCACTTTCAGCAAATACACAATTTGACTCATGTATAAATACTGAAATTTGATTTCTGAATGAAGTTATTCCCACATGAAGAGCTTATATTTCGTCTCTTTCTAGGAAATTTTCTAATAACTTCCAGGTAAAGAGTTTTTCGGTCACTACTTTTATAGGTTTTTTTCTCTCAAAAATGAGTTTCTGATATAAAGTGAGATTTGGCCTGTTATTTCTCTGATGTGTGAATTTGCTGATGTTCAAGGAGCTGACTTTTCAGTGGATGGTTTTTTTAGTCATTGTATTCGTAAGATTTCTCTCTAGCGTAAATTTTCTGCTTTGTAATGAAGTATGATTTGTGAATGAAGCCCTGTCCACATTGTAAGACAGAAAACCACTCTCCCCTATGAATTATCTTTGTATAATTAAATGTTGGTTTGAGTGAGTTTTCTTACATTTACTAAATTTACAGAATGAGATTTATTTTCAAAAAATTAATTTAAAGTGCATTTTCTTAATTTAAAAATTTAGGCTGTAAAACTTAAAATAATTTTGGCACAAGTACAAATGAACTGTGTTATCTTGCTGGCCTAAAATAAAAACATATGGCTAACTCGCACTACTTTTCTTAGTAAAGTCTATATCCCACATGCCTCCAATCTATACTGACCTTGGAGTACAGTTTAAGATTTAGCTTTCTTATTCCACTCATAATTTTCCATCATCCATTCTTCAATCAGTTCCCAAGTGCCCCTTGAAATACATGAAGCCCCCCCCCCAAAAAAAAATGTCTTCCCTTCTCCTAGAGATTAAAACTGTTGACAAAAGGTAAAGCATCTCTTTTGTCTTTTTCTTTGGCTTGGTAATATAGAATTGTATTTTTTAAATGTGCCTAAGAATAAAAAGATTGATAATCACTACCTTATTAATCTTACTATTATAGTAATCTTTGAAATTCTTATTTTCAAAGCCCTGGGCTCTTAAACCAATCTTCATTAACTTAATTTTCTATTAATTATTCAAAGGGAAAAACCCCACACTATTAAAGAAGAAATCTGAAAGGCTCTTAGTCTGTCTCCTCCTTTTGCTAAAGTTTGGCAGCTACCATAGTAAAACTTGACACAACCAGAAATAATTGTCTTTTAAGTATTAAACTTTATAAATTCTTTAACAAAGAATAAATGTCTTAACATTTAGCAACAAAAAATGGGAATAAAGTAATGTTGCATATCAGCATTTTCATTTTTTAGTTTGGAAAGTTTGGTAATTTAAAAATATTTCTGGACTCCACACACCCTAAATAGGAACATCTATTGCAGTGAATTGAAAACTTTTGCTAATGGCAGAGTAGATGGTACAAACCAGTATTCCCTTAGAGAACTAAAAAAAGGGGAAGAAAATATTAGATACATTTAATTTTGTGATGGCATTGGAGAGCTACTAAGAAAGTGAAAAACTGCAGGAATGAGATTAGAGATAAGACGTAACCTCTGGAATTTGGGACTATTTATTTCAAAAAGATGTTTACTAATTCTTAAAGCAAATACTGGGCAAGAAAGGCTTTAAAGTTTTAAAGAAATTAGTGGGACTAAAGGGACAAATATTAGAATTAAGGTCCTTCCAAGGAGGAGGGGGCCTGATAAATCTCAAAGTAGTAAATCTTGAGGGTATCCCTTAGAAATAAGATAAAAAAATAAACAAGCCTTCACAGGTACTGAAGCCCAGTTTCAAATAATCTCAGCACATAATTGGATGAAGACAAATAGGGATTGCTAGTGTCCTAGCCTAGCCACATGTCAGAAGCAAAGGTAAATTCTCTTGGGAAGATGATATCATCCAGACCATCTAATTACTCTATGATTTTTAAAACATAGTGGCTGGTAGTTGATTTAAAATTACTAGGTATATGAGAAGACAAGACATAAACAAAATCCAAGAGAAACAACAATGAATAGAAAAAGGTCAACAGGAGATCTAGATAATGGGGCTATCCCTAGAGGAAGCAAAAGAAGATAAATCACATGCATAATGTGAATAAATACCTAGGAATTTTCCAAAATGTGCAAAACCCCCCCAGTAAGATAGGTTAAAAATACACTGCAAACCCCAAGCAGGATAAATAAATAGAAAATCACATCTAGCCATATCACTGCAACTGTTTACAGTCTAACACATAGACAGAAATTTCAAAGGAGGGGAAAAAAGCATATTACCTTCAAAGGTAATTTGATTGAAAGCTTACTTTTCAACAATGAAAGACAAACCAGAACAAAATATCTTCAAGATACTAATAGAAAATAACTGCCAACCAAGATAGATATCTATACTCCTACAAAATGTCCTTCAAAAATGAGGGCAAAATAAAGACATTTTTCCACAAACAAAAACAGAATTTGTCACTAACAAATACACACTAAAAAAAAATACTGAAGGATGTTTTTCAGTCAAAAGAAAAATGATTCTAGACAAACAGAGGACAAAAAGGAACAAACAAGTAATGAAAAGAGTAAATATATGGATGAATTTAAATGAATATTGACTCTTAATGATTGGCCTCATCAACAATATGCAGAATTTACATGCTTGACACCAATACCATATAAAAGAAAATAATAAATGGAGTTAATGTTCTAACTCTCCACCTTTTTCAGAAAGTGGTGTGAATACTAATTTATATTACCCTTTAGTAAGTATGCGTATTGTATTAATACTTGACATAGTAAATTTTAAGTAAAAAAACATCAGAGAGAGAAAAAGGGGCATCTCATGATTGTTTCAATTAACCAGGGAAAGTATAACAAATCTAAATTTGAATGTATGTAAAAACAGACTCAAAATACATAAAGCCAAAATTGGTAGCTCTAAAAGAGACAAATTCACAATTATTCTGGAAGATTATAAGACACTTTTTTCAATATTTAATAAATTTTTTTTAAAAGTCTAAGGCCGGCTGAGTGATGCACTGGTTAAGCGTTGGCTTGGGACACCAGCTCTGAACAGGAGGGCCCCGGTTCGGATCCCACATTAGGGCCAGCAATGCTGCGCCCTCTACAGCTAAGATGGTGAACAACAGCTCAACCTGGAGCTGGGCTGCTGTGAGTCACCGGTGATGGCGTAGGCTGCAGCCCCTGCTGCAGTGGGCTGCCATGAGCTACAGTGAGTGGCTGACAGCCAGTATGAGCAGCCAGGAGCCAGCGTGAGCTGCCATGAGTGGCGTCCAGAGGCCGGCGACTGATCTGCCTCACCCGGGAAGAGCGCAATGATAATACCAACATGGGCCAGTGAAGTGACGTCCTCCACAACTAGACTGAAGAACAAAAGGACAGCAACTTGTCTGTTCCCCTTCCATGATTCCCCAACACTGTTCCCCTCCCCCAATTCCCCAATAAAATCTTTTAAAAAAAGCCTATAAAGGATTTTAAAATATAAGATTAATTTGTAAAGATTGGGAGGGTTTAATAAGAGTATTCTTACAAATGTGCTTCTATATCAGGGGTCGGCAAAGTTTTGAAATGGAAGAGCTGCCAGGGGTCAGCAAACTGTGGCTTGTATGCATGTGGCTCTGAAATAAAATTGAAAATGAAAATAAAACTATCATAGTTTCATTTATAAAATTTTTAAAGGATATTCACATAATGGTGATTATGTAAAAATATATTTATGGCTCTCAAATAATTTTTAAATTGTTGTGAGAGACAGGAATGGCTCTTCTAGGGGTCGGCAAACTTTTGAGACAGAACATACCCAAAGAGCCACATGTGACTCGCTAGCTGCAGTTTGCTGAACCCTGTTCTATGTTATATCTTCTAAGAAAAGCTCAAATGTAAGACAATTGTGTCCCACAATTACCTAGCATGTAATGAATATGTAGAGAAATCATTAATAAAATTGGAAGGCAAGCATTCTAAGTTTTAAAACCCATTTTCTTGTCTCTTTTTTCAAACAGAAATCAGCAAGAAAGAATGGGTTTCTGTGGACAAGGCTGAGAATCCAAAGTGCTGATATCTAGATCTTTAACCTATGGCTAAGTTTCATGAGCTCAGGGCCAGTGCTAAGGTGACAGGCTGTCTATGGGGCAGCTGCTTACATCACTGATCACTCTTGGAATATAAGCTGGGAGCACTTTTACTTTTGGATGTGAGTTACCTGCTGCCATGGCAAAGAATTAATAAATGAGAGAACATACTGGTTACCTAAAGATGCCTATAAATATTCAGATAAGCCTGTGGTTCTGATTTGCCAATCTCAAGTCAAATTGTACATTTAAAATTTTCTTATCCAAGTTTCCACACACTAATAGACACTATAAATAATAAATAATAGTAATTTCCCGAAGAAAAGAAAAATATGTACACTCCCTTGTGTCTCTAATGTTAATTTTCACAAAAACTTCTGGCTTTTCATTATAGACCTGAATTGTATATACTTTTGCCTTAATTTCAGTGTTTTTAGGGTTTTTAGACAATGAAAACTTTTCTTAGCACTCTACTCACTAAGAAATTCATTTGATCAATACTACATATTTTTGCTACCCAGGGCAAACTCAACAGCCCTGAAGTTATAAAACTGCTTATCCAATATGTGAAACAAGAAAGATTGCCAAGTTATCTCCTTGCATATTTACTATTATTTGCAGGAGCTTGACAATTCCAGTATCTGTCAAATAACCAAGCACAACCATTATACATTGCTTAAACACTTTCTCCAAAATGTCTCCCCATATGTGTAACTAAACATCTGCTATGTGACCGATATTCATACTTCTGAGTAGATAGAGGAAAGTTGGCTTTGGTTACCTCCTGCTTCTTAGTTAAGCTGTAGCATTTCACAACCTGTATCCCCACACCATGATTGTGACACTGAGCATTCTATTTCCCCAGTATCAGATGTCTGATGTATATTGAGTTGTGGCTTCCAGTTGAAGGCTTTCCTAAAGTCACTGCATTTATAGGGTTTCTGTTTATTATGAATTTTCTGGTGTTTAATAAGATTTGATCTGATGGTGAAGGCCTTTCCACATTCAGCACATATATATGGTTTCTCTCCTGTGTGAATTCGCTGATGCTCATGGAGCTGTGACTTCTTTATAAAGGCTTTCCCACAGTCACTGCATTCATAGGGTTTCTCTCCAGTGTGAATTCTCCGATGTCGGTTTAAGTGGGACTTCTGGATGAAGGACTTCCCACATTCAGTACAAATATAGGGCTTCTCTCCTGTATGAATTCTTCGATGCATAATTAGTGTTGATTTTCTTGCAAAGGCTTTGCCACATTCACTGCACTCATAATGTCTTTCTCCAGTATGAGACTGCTGATGTATATGGAGGCCTGACTTCCGAGTGAAGGCTTTTCCACAGTCACTGCATTTATATGGTTTCTCTCCGGTATGAATTTTCTGGTGTGTAAAGAGATTTGATCTGTCAGTGAAGGCCTTTCCACATTCAGCACATCTGTAAGGTTTCTCTCCTGTGTGAATTTGCTGATGTACATGGAGTTGTGATTTCTTAGTAAAGGATTTCCCACAGTCACGGCATTCATAAGGTTTCTCCCCAGTATGAATTCTCTCATGTGTAATAAAATGTGACTTGTGGAAAAAGGCCTTCCCACATTCAGTGCAAACATAGGGTCTTTCCCCTCTATGAGTTCTCTGGTGCACACTTAGTGTTGACTTCTGAATGAATTCTTTCCCACATTCACTGCACTCATAATGTCTCTCTCCAGTATGACATTTCTGATGTATCCTGAGCCGTGACTTCCAGGTGAATGATTTTCCACAGTCACTGCATTTATAGGGCTTCTCTCCAGTATGAATTTTTTGGTGCTTAATCAGATTTGACCTGTCAGTAAAGGCCTTCCCACATTCAGTACAGATATAGGGTCTTTCTCCAGTGTGAATTTTCTGGTGTATAATGAGATTTGTCTTATGGGTAAAGACCTTCCCACATTCTGAACATATAAAGGGATTCTTTCCTGTGTGAATTCGCTGATGCACATGGAGATGTGACTTCTTTATAAAGGCTTTCCCACAGTCACTGCATTCATAGGGTTTCTCTCCAGTATGAATTATCTCATGTGTAATAAGATGTGACTTCCGAATAAAGGCTTTCCCACATTCAGTACATACATATGGTTTTTCTCCCGTATGAATTTTCTGATGCATACTTAGTGTTGACTTCCTTGTGAAGGCTTTTCCACATTCAGTACATTCAAAGTGTTTCTCCACAGTATGAATTTTTTTATGTATATTGAGGTTTGAATTCTGAGATATGTTTTTTCCACATTCAATGTGTTCATACAGTTTTTCTCCAGAATGAATTCCTTGGAATCTGAACAGATCTGACTTCTGGATAAATGCTTTTATGTATTCACTGCATTTATAGTGATTCTCTGTGCATATATAACTTTCCTCTCCTGTGTAAACCTTCTGAGGTACAGCAAGTTGGGACTTCTGAGAGAAGATTGTCTCACATTTGCTGCATTCACATTTCTCTTCAGTATAAATACTATCATGTGCAAAGAGGTGTGACTTCTGGGTGAAAGTGTTTACACAATAAGAAAGTAAATAGAGGTTCTCTCCATTATGAATTTTTTTATGTTGAATGAGAGCTTTCTTATGACTCAGAAGTTTCTCACATTGATTACATTCACAAGCATTCATTTCTGTATGAGAATTCATATAAGTAAAACTATTACCATATTCAATAATCTTATAAAGATTTTTTGTTTCATTGTTTCTATTACAATTACATAAGCTTACAAAAGGCTTCAAACTCTTTCCAAATGAGTCATAGTTATGGAGTCTTCTTGAAGTAACAAGGTATGTGTTTACATGAACTATTTTCCCAATGTTCTTATATTCATAATCCCTCTCATTAGCTAGTGTTTTCTTGTTGATGGAGGCAATGTGACGTAAATGTTTGTTCTGGTTTTTCTCACATCTTCCTATCTGTTCATCATCTTGCCACAATTCTTCTAAAATGGAATATGGATCTTCTCTTGTAAAGAGATAAATTCTCTCAAACTGGATTGAAACTTCTTCAGATATTCCCTGTTGTGAAGTTTCAGAACAAATATCCCCATCTGAAACAGAAAGAAAAAAAAAACACACAAATAACAGTAAACAGACCATAGGTAGAATAAAATATAGAGTTGATTCAGAGTGAACACAGAGAAATGGGGGAAGTTCTATATAAATATAATAAATATATAAAAATATAAAATATGTATAAATATATGTATAGTAACATTTATATATAATATATAGTAATAAATGAGCACTTACATTATATTTACTGTATGATAAAGAATAGCATTTAGATGTGCCAGGAATTATTCTAAGTTCTTTATCAACTAATTTAAATATAATCACAACCTGGGCCGGCTGAGTGGCGCGTTGGTTAAGAACTGGCTTGGGATGCCAGAGGGCCCGAGTTCGGATCCCACATATGAGAACCAGTGACACTGCCCTCTGCAGCTAAGATGGTGAACGGGAGCCCAGGACCTGGAGTTGGGCTGCCATGGGTCCCCGGCGACTGTGTAGGCTGCAGTCCTCTGCTGCAGTGGGCTGCCATAAACTACCGTTTGTAGCCAGCAGCCAGCGTGAGCGGCCAGCAGCTGCCGTGAGCGGTTGTCCAATGGCTGGAGTCTGACTGCCTCGCCCGGGAAGAGCGCAATGATGGTACCAGCTTGGGCCAGTGAAGCAACATCCTCCACAACTAGACTGAAGAACAAAACAACAGCAACTTGTCTGTTCCCCTCCCCCAACTCCCCAATAAATCCTTTAATAAATAAATAAATAAATAAATAAAAATAAAAAATAATCACAACCATTTGCTGTTCAAATTATTTTAATTTACTTATTTTTTATTAGTTTCAGGTGTACAAAGCAACATTATAGTTAGACAGTTAAACCACTCATAAAGTGATAACCCAACCCCCAAGCTACTACCCCTCTGACATCTTTATATAGCTATTACAATACCATCGACTAATTTCCTATGTTGTACTCCACATCCCATGACTATATATACCTAAATATTTAGTTATAGTTGACATTCAATATTATTCTACATCAGCTTCAGGTGTATAGTGCATTGGTCAGGCATCTACACAGTCTATGACATGATCCCCCTGATAAATCTGCCCATCTGGCACCTTACATGATCTTTATAACATTGTTGATTATATTCCCCATACTGTATTAACTATCAATTTGTATTTCTTAATGCCTTCACCTTTTTCTCCCTGTCCCAACCCCATTCCCATCTATCACCCTGATCTAGTACCAATCTGGACCATACATAGTTATTACAATATTATTGACTATATTCCTTATGCTATACCCTACATCTCCATGACTACTGTGTAACAACAAATTTGTACTTCTTAATCCCTTCCTTAACCCCCCTTTCACCCATCCTTAACCCCCCTCCCATCTTAAAAAAGTCCCTCTAAGAGTCCTTGTAATGCTGGTTTGGTGGTGATGAACTCTTTCAGCTTTTTTCTTGTCTGGGAAGCTCCTTATCTGTCCTTCAACTCTAAATGACAGCCTTGCTGGGTAGAGCAATCTTGGTTGTATGTCGTTGCCTTTCATCACTTGGAATATTTCCTGTCACTCCCTTCTTGCCTGCAAAGTTTCTGTTGAGAAATCAGCTGCCAATCTTGTGGGGGCTCCCTTGAAGGTAACTAACTGCTTTTCTCTTGGTGCTTTTAAGATTCTCTTTGTATTAAACTTTTGGCATTTTAATTATGATGTGTCTTGGTGTTGGCCTCTTTGGGTTTATTTTGTTTGGGACTCTCTATGCTTCCTGGGCTTGTATGTCCATTTCCTTCACCAGGTTAGGGAAGTTCTCTCTCATTATTTCTTCAAATAGGTTTTCAATTCCGTGATCTCTCTCTTCTCCTTCTGGTACTCCTAAAATGCGAATGTTGGTATGCTTGACATTGTCCTGGAGGTCTCTTAAACTCTCCTCAATTTTTTGGATTCTTTTCTCTTTTTGCTGTTCTAGTTGGGTGTTTTCTGCTACCTTACCATCTACATTGCTGGTTGGATCCTGTTTCATCTAATCTGTAATATATCAATGTAATATATTGACTCCCTGTAATATATTCTTCATTTCCATTACTGTATTATTTATTTCTGACTGGTTCTTTTTCATGGTTTCCATCTTCATTTTTTCTGCTTCCTATCTCTCTGTTGAAGTTCTCCCTGAGATCATTGAGCATTCTTATAACCAATGTTTGGAATTCTGCATCTGATAGATTGCTTATCTCTGTTTTGCTAGTTCTTTTCCTAGAGCTTTGTTCTGTTCTTTTATTTGGGACATGTTTCTTTGTCTCCTTATTTTGACTGCCTACCTGTGTTTGTTTCTTTTTATTAGGCAGGGCTGCTATGTGTTCTAGTCTTAGTAGAGTGGCCTTATATAGTAGGTGTGCTGTGGGGTTCAGTGGCACAGTCTTTCTGGTCCCCTGAGCCATGCACTCCAGGTGTGTCCCTTGTGTGTGCCCTCCTCTTGTAGTTGATCCTTGGTTGATAATTGCACATCAGTAGGGGGGACTGACCCTTGGGCTCACTGGTTATGAGGACTGGCCTTGACTACAGCGGAAGAGCTGTGGTACAGGGGCTGATCCTATGGAGCAGGATCTGCCTCAGCAGGACTTTAGTGCCTGACCAATTCACCCATGGGTGTGTCGTACTTGGAAGTGCCTGGGTAATGCTCCAGTTCATTTTGAAGCTGGCCACTGGGGGCACCAGCCCCGGGACCACCTTGGAGGGGATTCGCTGTAGATCAAGTTAAGCCACAGCCCATGCCACATCCGGGGCCACCCAGCTGGAGCCAGAAAGGAATCCGCAGATGACTGCCACCTCTGCTGTGCTTGGAAGCACCTTGAAAGGCCAAGCCGCAAACCAAGGTCGGCTGCTGCTAATACCCCACTTAGGGCCGCTCAGCCAGAGGGACAGGACATATTCAAGGCAGATGCTTCTTGTGTGGGTTCTGCAAACCTTTGAGAGACCCTAGGAAAGTCTGCAACTTGAGCCAAGGCAGGCAGTCTGCACATAAAAGCCACTGAAAGCAGGCTGGGTGTGCCCGAAAGTTGGGCTGGGCCAAGGTCTCAAATCACCAGGGCATAGTGAAGAGTCAGCGGAGGCTCAGAAACAGCAGCCACCAGTCTTCACATGCCGGGAATGGGGAGGGCTCAGCAAAGAAACAATGACCTCTGCCAGGTCCTCCGTCAGGAGAAAGCTGCCCTTCCAACCCCTGTCCCAAGCCACACAACTCAGTTCCCCACCATGTGTCCCTGCCACCTTTCCAGTTGCTGCCCCAGTGCTGGAGCTCAGAGCCAGTGATTCCACTGATGGGTAAGTCCGTGCACAGTCCCTTTAAGAGAAGCACCTGTGAGTGCAACTGTACTCTCTCACTCAGTAACCATTTCCACTGGTTTTCACAACCAGAAATTATGGGGACTTCTCTCCCTGGCACTGGAACCCTGGGCTGGAATCTCTCACTCCTTTAGGAGATGGGGGACCCCCACAGCCAAAATAGCCCTTTCAATCTTTAATGGTCACACATGGGTGTGGGACCAGTCTGCTCCACGTTTGTGACCTTCCTACCAGTCTGGAGGTGGCTTCTTCTGCAAGTCCTTAGTTGAAAGGCTTCAGTTCAGCTCGATATTAGGCAATTCTCAATAATGGCTGTTTTGTAGATTTGTTGTAATTTTGATGTGGTTGTGAGAGAAGGTAAACACAGTATTTACCTACTGTGCCATCTTGGTTGTCCCTTTGCTGTTCGAATTATTATTGACCCTATTTTACAGAAGAGGAAATTGAGCCTCAGAAGAGGTAAGTAACTTTTCCAAATAAAGTGTTTAGTAATTGGGGAAGATGAAATTCAAACCAAAGCACATCAGTTCTATGTATGCAGCATAACTACATAATAAGGTCTCAGAAGAACAAAGTGACAAACTATGAGGCTTAAAAGAAGTATTTCTGAATCTAGATTCTTATTATCCTTTATCTATAAATCTTCACTAATCATCCTGCTTTCTTTTTTTCCTATAAACCACTGTGATTTCAATAACAACTACTGTAGCTTCTGTCATCAGTAGCCAGGCAGTAAATAGCCACCTGTGATTTAATTCTTTATCCCTGGTTTGGAGTGCAGAGACACATGCATCTAATAGGAAGCATATAATAGCAGAAAGCCATCAGAAGCAGAGAATGGAAGTCTCTGTCCCTTTCCTTCAACAATATTAAGATTGTAGCCAAGCACGTGGTTTCCTCAGAACAACAGGTCTATCTAACCTCATCTGCCATTGGGAGAAGCCAAATGATTCACTTCTTACCAATTAAATGGGAGTAAAATATTATATTTGTTGTGACAAGGCCAATATATTAAGGAATTGGGTGTTTCTCCCACCACCCTCTTCTTTCCCACTGGCTCTGTTCCAAACTGGCAGCATCCAGTTCTGCTCATATGCAACTGGCAATGCCCTAGGCTGAGGTCAGAAAACTACAACCCTCAGGCTAAATCCAGGTCTCTACCCAAAAGCTAAGAATGGATTTTGTGTTTTTGAATGCTTGAAAAAAATCAAAAGAAAAATAATACTTCATGACACATGAAAATTACATGAAATTTAAATTTCCATACCCTTAAAGTTCTTAATGAAAACAGTCACACACATTCATTGATTTATTATAGCTGCTTTGGGGCTACCACTGAAGAATTGAGTAGTTATGCCAGCAATCTTATGGCTCACAAAGCCTAGAATATTTACTTCTGGATCTTTACAGAAAATGTTTGCCAAACCGAGTCAGGGGATGGTGGTGCAATGACTTTCTAGAAACTTTGTTCCTGAATGGCCTGGAAGACCTGGACCACTCACCTTGGAGCTGTCATGTTTCTTAGGTTCTCCTAATGACAGGAGATTGGCTTTACTCCAATATACCATTCTTGCCCAGAATAAGAATCAATAATATTTCAAATTCTGGAATAGATTCTCAGGAAATGTTTATGTAAAAACTAGATTATACTATTATCTTATTCTACTAGAGTTCTTGAATATACTTGTAGATACAGTCTAACCTCATATGCATTTTACTCTTTCTAGAGCTTTGCATTTTCCCAAACACATTCTTTAACTGTTATATTACATTTTTACTCATACACATTAATGGCTTTCATTAATCTTGAGGCATCTCATACAAGATTCCTAAATATGAATTTTTATCTTTTGCAATCTTTCATATTCTTTTTTTTTAAGATTTTTTTATTGGGGAATCAGGGAAAGGGAACAGATAAGTTGCTGTCCTTTAGTTCTTCAGTCTAGTTGTGGAGAACATCGCTTCACTGGCCTATGTTGGTATTGTGATCATTGTGCTCTTCCTGGCTGAGGCAGTCGGTCTCCAGCCATTGGACGGCCGCTCACGGCAGCTTGCAGGAGCTCTCGCTGGCTGCCAGCCACTGATGGTAGCTCACAGCAGCCCACTGCAGCAGGGGCTGCAGCCTACACTTTCACCGGCCATTCATGGCAGCCCAGCACCAGGTCGAGCTGTTGTTCACCATCTTAGCTATAAGGGGTGCAGCGTTATTGGGCCATGTGGGAACTGAACCGGCAGCTCTGCTGCTCAGAGCTCACATCCCAAGCCAACTCTTAACCAACTGAGCCACTCGGCCAGCCCCTCACATTCTTTAACTTACAAATCTATTGCTATGTCTGACATCATTTACATTACTACCAACAATGTTCAATGTAAAAAAGTTACTCCTGTGTTAAAAAGTTTAATTATATACAATTCCTGTCACTACTCATCCAATAAAATACAAAATCATAATTCAGGCCAATGGTATGTGTATTTGCAAGCTATCTTTCAACTAATCACAAGTCTATTTTATTACTAAATCCAAACATACATTATTTTCCTTTTCCCCATTAAGCTTCTTTTTGCTAATCCTGTTTCTATTCAAAATTCATTGTCTTCACAGAATATTTAGGGTTCTATGCTCTAAAAACTAATCTGAAATCTCAGCACAACTCCAGGAAAGCTTTCTTTTCTTTTAACAAACAAAAAAAAAAGACCAGATATTCTGAGCCACTCATACTTAATTGGCATAATCAAATTGAGCCATAACAAAAGCTTAGTGTACAAAGCCTGCAATTTTAAGCACTGCATGTAGTTATATTACCTTTGCATTTATAATTATTGGTCTTTGAATTGTTCCTAGCAGAAAAAATTTCAAGTCCCTCTGAAACAGCAGAATAAACCTCTTCTGCCACATCAGATAAAGTCAAGAATTTAATTCAAGAATATTACTAAATATTCTCTACAGAAACATTGGGAGAAAACAAGGGTAAAAGACTCAGTTATCACATCACTTAATGTAGTTTTCTCTGAATGTATGTGGGTTGGAGAATAAGAATAGGGGAAAATCAATGTATGCCATAATAGGTTCAATTCAGGATGTGAAACCTGAGCACAAAATATAAGTATGTGTAGTATCTGAATAAGCAGATAAAATATTCAAAGTGTCAGGTGCAGGGGGATCACAAAAGAAAATGTTAAAATAAAGTAAATATGACTATGGAAAGTAGACAAATGTAAAGTACAAATATGAATCATGTTCTTTCTTCAGCTTACAAACCCATTGAGAGAAGAATTTGTCATGTGTTAGATAATAACATATCTACTATAACATTGGACTTAGGTCTTCACATGGGTTCTTTGTGCTTTATTCCTTAGGATGTAGTGGCCTCCTTGGAGCAACAGTTCAGCCTGATGATGCAAGCAGAATTCTCAGTGTTGGTTGATGTGCTGTACAGTCCAGAAGTTCTGTTCCCTGAGGAGAGTGACTGAATTTTGTGACTGAATGTCTAAACCATTCTGCAATTTGGTCTCTAATCCTGCTTGAGTGACTAGGCCACTTTTGCAGTTTAAACTCTGACTCTGTCTATCTAACAAACTGCATTCCTTGCACTATCCATGTCACTACAAAACGTATTAGTTTATTTTCCAGACTCCAAGGGAAACTGCGGCATTGGCCTCAGCCTTGTGACCCCCCTCCCCTGCTGATTACATCTTTTTTTTTTAATTGGGGAATTGGAGGTGTGTTTTAAAGTGTCCCTAAATCATCCTCCATCATGACAACGCTCTGTGTCACACATCGCTTCTGATATATGGCAATTTCTGTCCAAAAAAACATAACATTACAGTGTGTTCTCATCCACCTTATTCACCGGATCTCGCACCGTGCAACTTATGGCTCTTCCCCAAAGTCAAAATGATTCAGGACATCGAGGCAGACGTGACAGCACAACTAAAGACAGTCACGAAAGAGGACTTCCAGAACTGCTTCAGAAAGTGGCAAGAATGATGGGATAAGTGTGTTCGAAGCAAGGGGGAGTATTTTGAGGGGGATTAATGACAATGTCTCTTTTACTGTAATAAATTTTTTATTTAAACATACACTATGTTGTTTGATCACACCTTGAATATCAATACTACAGGATGCTATGCTTCAGTTAAAAGCAATAAACCAAAAATATACATTGCAAATTGAACCACTTTAGTGGAGAGAAAAAAAACACAACTGAGTGAGCTATATAGCACAGTCCCATTTCTACAAAAAAAATACAAATAATTTGGGCTGGCCAGGGGGCACAGTTGTTTAAAGCATGAGCTCTGAGCAACAGGGTTGCTGGTTCAATTCCCACATGGGCCAGTGAGCTGCACCTGAGCTGAGCTGCCACTGAGCTGCCAATGGGTGGCTGGATGGTTCCGCTGTACAAGGTTGCCAGATCGACTCCCACATGGGATGGTGGGCTGTGCCCTGTCCCCCAAAACTAAGATTGAACACAGCATCTTGAGCTGAGCAGTTGCTCAGCTGGTGAGAGTGCATGCTTTTAACAGCAAGGTTGCCGGTTCGACTCCTGCATGGGATGGTGGGCTGCGTGCTCCCCATACCCCCCGAAACTAGATTGAAAGTGGTGACTGGACTTGGAGCTGACCTTGCGCCCTACACAACTAAGATTGAAGGACAACAACCTGGCTTAGAGCTGATGGGTCCTGCAAAAACACAATGTTCCCCTCCCCCAATTTTCCAACACTGTTCCTTTCCCCAATTCCCCAATAAAATCTTAAAAAAAAACAATAATTAAAATTTTACACATACCCCACAAATTCAAAGATAGGTAGAAAACATATCAAATATATAAGAGCAGCTTTATCCTCTGGAAAAGATAAAAATAAGTATGTGGAGTGAGAATTAAAAGGGATAAAGAAGAAAAAATAAGAGAGCACTATCTTATGAGAAACACATTGATAATGAAATTGAATACTTAATGAGAGCTAGAATGAGGCCAATTTCCTACACACAGGTACAAAAGTTTTTTGTAAAATATCAAAGTAAATAAATTAGAGACCAAGTCAGTGTTGTGTGACACCTGCCAAGTGGGAAGAAAATGTCAGTAACTATAATTGATAATGTAATATACAGAAAAAGCTGTCCCCAAGTGGTACCCTCAAAGTTAACAGTAGGAGGAGAGGCATGGGAGATAATAATAATAAAATAAGGCCATCACTAGATGACAATTCTGAAGCATTAAGAGGAGAGAAAATGAAAAAAAACCCAGCAAGAGTGTGATCCACAATAATTTTTTTTAAAGATTTTATCAGGGAATTGGGGAATAGAACAGTGTTGGACAATTGGGGGAAGGGAACATTGTGTTTTTCCAGGATGCATCAGCTCCAAGTCAAGTTGTTGTCCTTCAGCCTTAGTTGTGGAGGGTGCAGCTCAGCCCCAAGTCCAGTCACCACTTTCAATCTAGTTGCAGGGGGGCACAGCCCACCATCGCGCTCTCACCAGCTGAGCCATCTGGCTGCCCATTAGCACCTCAGCAGCAGCTCAGCTCAGACGCAGCTCACTGGCCCATGTGGGAATTGAACTGGCGACCCTGTTGCTCAGAGCTTGCACTCTTAACCAACTGTGCCACCCGGCCGGCCCCACAATAATTTTTTTAAAAAGCAAATCTATGAGTGTCTGAATGTGTAAAAAAAAGGGGGGGGGGTTAAGATCTTGATGGAATAAAAAGAATTAACATGGTAGAGAAAAGGAAAGAAAGCAAAAACACAAGACACTAAGGATTCAAAGTACCAGTAATTTATTGTACATTCTCTCCTAAAATGTCAAGTAAAGAACACACTGATATGTGAAAGGACCTTAAAACGTTAAGAAAGGAAAAAAACTGTATTAAAATTATAATAGTCAATATATACCAATAATAAAAGATGAATACAAGTTATGTGTATACACTTTTTTGGCACCCCCAGTATATCCAAGGGACCAATATCAATTCTTTCCATGTAGTTCCAATAGATCAGAATGTTACAGACATGTCATATTAATAGCCCTTCAAAGTTGCCAGCCTCTGACAGCATAACTACAGTTCAGTTGTACTGCCTCCCATGCATGCTATTGGTTCAGTACTCACTTAGACAGCTGTGACTTGAGGTTTCATCATCTAACACACATGGCTTTTCTACTTACTCCAAGTTGAAAATGACTTCTGGTTTGGGAACTTCACACCCTATTAACAGGAAATGATAGAAGGCTTAGTTTGATACCATACAATGCAGCATTCTATTTACTTTTCAGCAAAGTTCATGGGAAACAGCAGTATATTCATAATACCCAACAGATTATTAAAAACACAGGGCAAAATATGGACAAAAATTTACACACTTACAATGTCTCTCAGCTATACAAGTCCTGCATACCTCAGAGATCCCACAGACTCAGAAATTCTGTGGGAAAGAAAACATACATGATTAAGAACAGCCTTATACCCAGCAGAGCATGCTTACCCACTGAGATCAAGTTGAAATAGTTTTCCAGCATTACATCCCTGTATAGGCTTTTCTGAGCGAAGTTTAATTGTTGCCACTCCTCCCTGCTGAAGTCTACAATTACATCCTTGAATGACACAAATCCCTGTGAAAATGTAAAGTATCAATGTAAAGTGTCAGGATTGCAGGATGGAAACAAGATATATAGAAACTTTTAATAATTTTTAACATGATACAACATAGAAGGTTCCCATGAAAAATCTACCTTTTATATTATTATTTTGAAAGAAAAAATAAATCATTAAAAATATTGTGCCATTCTTTCTGTGGTACTGATAATATTCTGGGCGTCCCCATCCCCCTCCATCCCCTCCTCAAGCCATTATTCTCAGTCTAGTTGTGGAGGATGCAGATCACTGGCCCATGTTGGTATTATGATCATTGTGCTCTACCTGGCTGAGGCAGTCAATCACTGGCAGTCAGCCAGCTAATCACACTGGCCACCAGCCACTCACAGCAGCCCAAGGCAGCTCACGCCGGCCGTCAGCCACTGAAGACAGCGCAGCTCCAGGCCAAGCCGTTGTTCACAATCTTAGCTGTAGAGGGCGCAGCTTACTGGCGCAGTTTACTGGCCCATGTGGGAATTGAATCGGCAACATTGTTGTTCAAAACTTGTGCTTTAACCAACTAAGTTATCTGGCCACCCTGGGGGTTTCTTTTGGTTGTTTTATTTCTATCTATGGTTATATAAGAATAAGCTGTGAAAATTGATCATCAAGCTGAATACATATAATTAGTGCATTCTTTTCTGTGTATATCATACTTCATTAACACTTCATTTTGAAAAGAAAATATATTCTGTCATTCATTTTACACTCAATCCAGTGGGTAAGTCAATTCTTTCTTTAAAAAAAAAAATCAAAGGCCAGCCAAGTGGCTCAGTTGGTTAAGAGTTAGCTTAAGAACGTGAGGTCTAAGCAACAGGACCTCCAGTTCAATTCCCACATGGGCCAGTGATGCTGTGCCCGAGCTGAGCTGCTGCTGAGCTGCCAACATGTGGCAGGATGGCTCAGCTGGTGAGAGCATGTGCTCCTAACAACAAGATGGCATGTTCGATGGTGGGCTATGCCCACCCGCAACTAAGACTGAACTCGGGACCTTGAGCTGAGCTGCTACCCGGATGGCTCAATGGATAGAAAGCACACTCTTAACTAAGGCTGCCGGGTTCAACTCCCACATGGGAGAGTGGCTATGCCCACCCGCAACTAAGATTGTAACGAGCTGCCAACGGGCAGCCAGATGGCAACTGGCACCCTCCACAACTAAGATTGAAGAACAACAACTTGGTTGGTCCCCCTCCCCAACTCCCCAACACTGTTCCCCTCCCCCAATTCCCCAATTAAAAAAGATCATTACAATAGGTTCTTTTTTCAAAACAGTGTGGTACTGGCATAAGGATAGACATATGGAATGGAATTGGGAATCCAGAAATAAACCCTCATATATCTTGTCAATTGTTATTCAACACAGGTGTCAAAACAATTTAAAAGAAAAAAATAGGGCCTGCCGAGTGGTGCGATGGTTAAGAACTGGCTTGGAATGCCAGAGGGCCCCGGTTCGGATCCCACATATGAGGGCCAGTGACACTGTCCTCTACAGCTAAGATGCTGAACAACAGCTCAATCTGGAGCTGGGCTGCCGTGAAGTGTTAATGAAGTATGATATACACAGAAAAGATAAACAAAATTGATAAACTCTTAACCAAATACATCAAGAAAAAAAAGAAGACCCAAATAAATAAAGAAGAGATGAAAGAGAAGTGACAACTGACAATACAGAAATACAAAGGGTTATAAGAAAATACTACAAGCAATTATATGCCAACAAATTGGACAATCTGAAAAAAAAGAATAAATTCCTAGAAACATACAATCTTCCAAGACTGAATCAAGAAGAAACAGAAAATAAGAACAGACCAATTACTACTAACAAAATGGAATCAGTAGTCAAAAAACTTCAAGCAAACAAACACCCTGGACCAGATGGTATCACAGGTGAATTTTAACAAAGTCAAAGACAATGACTTAATACATATCCTTCTCAAACTATTCCAAAAAACTGAAGAGGAGGGAATGCTCCACAGCTCATTTTATGAGGCCTGCATTACCTTGATTCCAAAACTAGACAATGACAATTCAAAAAAAAGAAAATTATAAGCCAATATCCCTGATGAACATGGATGCTAAAATCCTCAACAAAATATTAGCAAACCGAATTCAACAATACATTAATAAGAATATAACATGATGAAGTAGGATTTATTCCTGGGATATAAGGTTGGTTCAATATCTGCAAATCAATTAACGTGATACACCACATAAACAAAATGAAAGATAAAAATCATATAATCATATCAAAAGATTCAGATAAAGCATTTGACAAAATCCAGCATCCATTTATGATAAAAACTCTCAGCAAAGTAGGAATAGAGGAAACATAACTCAACATAATAAAGGTCATATATGACAAACCCACAGCTAACATCATACTCAATGAGGGGAAGCTAAAAGGCTTTTCCTTAAGATATGGAACAAGACAAGGATGTCCAATTTCACCACTTTTACTCAACAGAGTATTTGGGCCGGCCGAGTGGCTCAGTTGGTTAAGAGCTTGCTCAAGAGTTTGAGCTCTGAGCAACAGCGGTTCGAGTCCAGCCCGAGCTGAGCAGCTGCTGAGCTGCCAACAGGCAGCAGGATGGCTCAGCAAAAAAAAAAAAAAAACAGAGTATTGGAAGTCCAAGCCACAGTATTCAGACCAAAAAAAAGAAAAGACATCCAAATTGTAAAGGAGGATGTAACACTGTCATTATTTGCAGATGACGTGAAAATTCTAAAGATTCCACACACAAAAACTATTAGCAGTGATAAATGAATTCAGCACAGTGCCAGAATACAAAATTAATATTTAGAAATCAATTGTATTTTTATACACCAATAACAAATTATCAGAAAGAGAAATTAAGAAAACAATCCCATTTACAACTGCATAACAAAATAAAATACCTAAGAATAAATTTAACCAAGGAGATAAAAGACCTGTGCTCGCAAAATTAGACATTGAAGAAAGAAAGTGAAGAAGATACAAATAAATGGAAGCATATACTGTGCTCATGGAAAGGAAGAATTAACAAGGTTAAAATGTCCATACTACCCAAAGCAATCTATAGATTCAATGCAATCCTTATCAAAATACCAATGGCAATTTTCACAGAACTAGAACAAGTAATCTTAAAATTTACATGGAACCACAAAGATCCTGAATAGCATTAGCAACCTTTTTTTCTTTTTTATTGGGGGAAAGTGTGTTTTTCCAGGACGATCAGCTCCAAGTCAAGTAGTTGTTTCAATCTAATTGTGGAGGGCATTTTTCCAGGACTCATCAGCTCCAAGTCAAGTAGTTGTTTCAGTTTAGATGTGGAGGGTGCAAATCAGTGGCCCATGTGGGAATCAAACTGGCAACCTTGGTGTTATGAGCACTGCACTCCAAACAACTGAGCTAATCAGCTGCCCCCATAGCAATCTTGATAAATAAGAACAGCTGGAGGTTATCAGTCTCCCTGATATCAAACTATACTACAAGTTTATAGTAATCAAAACAGCATGGTACTAGCATAAAAACAGACACATAGATCAATGGAACAGAACAAAGAGCACAGAAATAAAGCCATGCCTATATGATCATTTAATCTTTGTCAGAAGAGGCAAGAATGTACACTGGGGTAAAGACAGTTGATTTAATAAATGGCGCTGGGAAAACTGGACAAATACATGCAAAAAAAAAAGGAAACTAGTCCACCTTCCTACACTATAAAAAAAAAGAAAGGAAAAAAATAAAAACTGAAATGGGTTAAAGATTTAAATGTAAGACACAAAATCATAAAACTCCTCAAGGAAAACATAGGCAGTAAAATCTCTGACATTGCTCTTAGTAATATTTTTTTAATGTATCTCCTGGGGCAGGGAAAAACACAACAAAAAATTGGACTACATCAAACTAAAATTTTTGAACAGCAAAGGAAACCATCAACAAAGTGAAAAGACAACCTACAGATTGGGACAAGATATTTGTCAATGATACATCCAATAAGGGGTTAATAACCAAAATTTGTAATGAACTTATACTACTTAACACCCCAAAAACAATTAACAAAATAGGCAGAGGTCCTGAATAGACATTTCTCCAAAGTGAACATGCGTGTGGTTAATAGATATGTGAAAAGATGCATCAGATAAATGCAAACTAAACTTGCAATGAGATATCACCTCACACCTCTCAGAATGGCTGTCATCAATCAATCAACAAACAACAAATGTTAATGAGGATCTGGAGAAAAGGGAACTCTCATGTACTGTTGGTGGGATTATAAATTGGTACAGACATTATGAAAAACAGTATGGTGTTTCCTCAAAAAATTAAAAATAAAACTACCTTATGAACCAGCAATTCCACTCCTTGGTATTTATCCAACATAATCTAAAACATAAATTCAAAAAGATATATGCACCCCTATGTTCATTGCAGCATTATTAACAATAACCAACCTATGGAAGCAACCTAAGTGCCCATCAATATTTGAATGAATAAAGAATACATGGTACATACATACAATGGAATATTACTTGGCCTTAAAAAAAAACAACAATGAAATCTTAGCATTTTCAACAACATGGATGGACATAGAGGGTATTATATTAAGTTAAATAAGTCAGACAAAGACAAATATCATATGATGTCACTTATATGTTGAAGCTAAAGATAAAAACAAATTAACAAACAAAACAAAAACAGACTCATAGACAACAAACTGATGGTTGCCAGATGGGAGGAGGGTTGGGGGGGCTGAGTGAAAAAGGTGAAAGGTGTAAGATGTACAAATTGGTAATTACAAAATAGTTACAGGGTTGTAAAGTACAGCATAGGGAATATAGTCAATAATATTGTAATAACTATGTATGGTGTCAAGTGGGTACTAGACTTATTGAGAAGATCTCTACATAAATTCTATAAATGTCTAACTGCTATTGTATAAACATGAAATTAATATAAAATAATATTTAATGTCAATTGTAATTGAAAAATTTTAAA